TGTATCCCGTGTGTCTGGTTACTGGCACCAGGAGAACAAGGGCATTACAGTTCATGCCAAGTTATCTTTATTGCCAGGCAGTTCCTTGGACTTTCAAAAGTACGAGGGCTTCTCTGTTCTCTGGAGCACAGTCTGCTCCAGCCTTGAACTCTGGGGATGCAGGCTAAGAAGGGCGCTCTCTGATGTGAGGCGAGAGCTTCTACGACTCAGGATGGGATTGGGGGCAGCTTGTTTGTGCTCACAGGAGAGCAGAGGAACTAAGTGGGGGGAGCCACGGGTGCTCAGCTAAATCACTTTCACACTGACAAGCAGGCCACAAGCCAAACCCTTCCCTTCAGAGCTGCCCCAACTTAAGCTCTGGCTACCAGGTAGGTATTGCGGAAGAAACTCAACGCAGAGTGTGGGTGTCAGCTCTATGCACACACTGACTTTCCTGATGACATTAGGGATCTTCATTTTGGGTAAAGATGTAGAAGTCTGGCAGAGAAAACATATGGATGTTTTGGGACTCTCCCCACCAGCTACCTGAACAATTATACACAAAACATACCCAACCCTTCTTTCTAAAAACTCCTTATTGAGAATAAACATATTCTAAAAATATGCGTATACCTTAAGACATAAGGTTTCAGTTATCTCAAGTAAAAGCTTGACTCCAGAGATATTAAGTTTTCCATCTTCACAAACAAGAACGGCAAAAGGACAGAATTCCTGCTGGAACAGCTCAGGCTGCTTCCCTGAAAGGGAGGAAACAAGTCAGCCTTCTCTAGTCCCCACCCCCTTGAGAGCGGCAGGGTCTCAGGTGCGAGGCTCGCCCCGCCAACACTACTTCTGGGGATTTAAGAGTCGGCACAATTCTTGGGAAGCACTCCTGCCACCCTCACCTTGCTTTCCTTGCCAAATTACACACGTTGAAAGGTTAGAGTAACCAACAATGGCCCTTCTCATCCCCGCCCTGGAGGGCAGCTGGGCCAAGTCAGGAGTCTACTTCAGGAGGATTTAATCATCTTAACTTCATTTTCTGGAGAGGTTCGGGTTCCTAACCCACTTACCAAATATCCCGAATACCAACTGCTACAATACAAATGATTACATAGTCTTCATAAACGTTTATGGTGTAGGTGCACTTTAATTAAGCACTCAGTCGTTTACATGTTTTAACTCCATAAAAAAAAAAAGTTTAAAAAGGCAGCAGGTCCCTACTTAAGGATTTGGGCAGCCCTGCAGAAAGCCGTCCTCCGGACCAAAAGGAGCGGGGAAGGGGACTGAGCTGACCCCTCCCTCGGGGTCCAGCCCTAACAGTTGGTTCTAGTGAGCATGGGTCAACTCGCGTTTTCCAGAAAAACTCGCCAGGCGTTTCTCCGAAGTCCCCCCCTCAACCTGCCTGACTTGGAGGAAGCGCAGTTTTTTATCGCCCGCCGGCGTTCTGTGTTTAGGTGGACAGGCTACCAATCTGTACCCGTCAGGTTCTTCGCCCCCCTCCGACTCCCCTCCCACCTCCGCGACCTGGACTGCGACACCTCCGGGGGCAGCGGCGCATCTGCCACCCACGGCACCGCTAGCCCAGGCAACTGACTGTCATCATGGCTTTTAGTCTACCCGGTGAGCCAGTTTCATTTCTCAAAGGGGAGGGACCAGGTCGCAGACACCGTATCCCGGAGAAGTTTCCGAGAGAAGCGCGGCGCCCAAGCCACTCGCTTGGATCCCTTGGCTGCTCACGATGTCCACAGTCCGGTGCGAGTGGAAGAAACGTTCGGGGTCTCCGGCCTCTCCTCGAAGCGCCGGCCCCGGCGCCCCGGCTGGGAGGCGTCCTCCCGCCCCGCCCTCGCGGTCCTGACCCCGGCCCCTGGCCGCTGCATTTGCAACTGCGCCTCCCGAAACCGCCGCGCGCGGACTCGCGCTGCGCGGACCGGCCAGGCTGGGCGTGCGGGTGGGAGCGCAGGTGCGCGCCCCGGAGACCGCGGGCAAGGAACGGGGGCGGGGCGCCGGCGGACACCTGGCAGGAGCCCAATGTCCCCATCGCACATTCTTCGGCCGCCCCGCCGCCCCGGGAACGCGCGAAACAGGAACTTGCTGAAGTTTGCCAAATCCTGGCCGAAGTCTCTGGAAAGTTGCAGCTCCCTCTCGGAGCGTCGCGCCTGGCCCACGGGGACAGGGGGTGGGAAGCGGGCTGTGGTCGTGAGAGCTGCGGGGGGAGGGCGTACCGGGTCCCGGCACCTGTCCGCACCGGGCTCGGCTAGGACCTGAGCTCGGCTCGGCTGGGACAGACCCCCGAGGGCACAGTATGTGGTTCTCTGGGGGCCGCAGAATCCTCGCACCTTTGCAGGAGGGGGCCCTGGACTCACCTGGGTAGCGGGAAAGGAGGCGACAGAGGCAGGTCTTCGGCGTGGGCAGCCCCTAGCAGGAGCGGCGAGGTCACTGCAGCCCCCCAGGCAGCGGCACTGAGTGACCGGCCTGCCGCCGCCCCCTTCGTTCTTATACCGCCAGACACGCCTCCCCCAGAGCAATCACGTATCCAGTTAACAGGGGCACCTTCTCCATGGCAGGCCCTGCTCTAGGTGCAGGGGGTTCAGCAGTGAGCACAGATCCCTGTCTTCCTGGGGCTCACATGCCAGTGGCCAAGACAGATGAGCAAAAGCTGAGAGCCGTTCCCTTGGCCTCCTCAGCACAGGGCACAAAGGGCCACCTAGGAAGCACTTAGCTCCTTACTGGCCCCATCATTTATCTAAGAAACACTTTAAGCAGTTTAGTGACCAAGACCCCAAAAGGCTCCAAGATTGAAAACATCCTACACAGAGTTGCTGAACATCAGCAAGTGTTTCTTTTTATCACTTTTCTCCTGATGTCCGAAGAAGTTCTGCAAAGTCGAGGACAGGCTACGGGGTTCAGCTGTACAAAGTCTATTCATTCTAAACAATTCTAAGGCTATTTCTTACATAGCTGGGTTTTACAAAGATGCTTCCTCTAAGCCAGCGGTTCTCACCCTGTGGGTCGCGACCCCTTTGGGGGTTAAACGACCCTTTCACAGGGGTCGCCTAAGACCATCGGAAAACAAAAAGATATTTACATTACGATTCATAACAGTAGCAAAATTACAGTTATAGAGTAGCAACGAAAAGAATTTTATGGTTGGGGGTCACCACAACATGAGGAACTGTATTAAGGGGTCGCGGCACTAGGAAGGTTGAGAACCACTGCTCTAAGCCATTTAAATTCCAAATATAAGCTTCCTTATCATACACATAGTGGAAGGATAAAAATGTCTGAGCCCAGAAGTCCTGGAAGCATCACAAGAGATCAGCACCATTGTACCCAAGTGGCTTGAACACATGAACATCTCTCTAAACACAGAGGTGTCTGCTCCACCATAGTACAGCTTATGCCAATCTAACGTGCTACAGTCAGAACACCATGATGGCAGAACACGCTTCTCTATATTGCCTTGCTCACCTCAGTGACCACACAAAAAAAGCAATGAATTTTATCTAACCAGTCATGTTATATTCCAAGTAACACCTCAGGCTCTGCATTGCCTGCCCTTAACACACACATACACACACCTACAAAGTAACAGATACAATCCAGTGTGAGACCAAGAAACCTAAAGACAACCTAAGTTGAACTGACCAAACCAGTCTTGGCTTCCGTGACTTCTCTCGGTAATACAAGAAAGGCTTACCACATCCCTGCAGAGCTCTTGGATTGTCATTCTTAAGGACTGACCCCATGTACACACTGTATCAAAGATGGAAACCAGGGCCGGCC